TCGGGATGCTCGGCGCCGAGCACTTGTGTCCGGAGCTTAAGCGTCTGCCGGGAGAGCGCCTCAGCATCCTCGTACTTCCCCTGGTTGTTAAGCGAGTTTGCAAGGTTGCTCATACTGATGAGCGTATCGGGATGCTCGGCGCCGAGTACTTGCGTCCGGAGCTTAAGCGTCTGCCGGGAGAGCGCCTCAGCCTCCTCGTACTTCCCCTGGTCGTCAAGCAAGTTTGCGAGGTTATTTATGCTACCGAGCGTGTCGGGATGCTCGGCGCCAAGCACTTGCATCCGGAGCTTAAGCGTCTGCCGGGAGAGCGCCTCAGCCTCTTTGTACTTCCCCTGGTTGTAAAGCGAGTTTGCAAGGTTGTTCATGCTAGTGAGCGTGTCGGGATGCTCGGCGCCAAGCACTTGCGTCCGGAGCTTAAGCGTCTGCCGGTAGAGCGCCTCGGCCTCCTTGTACTTCCCCTGGGTGTAAAGCGAGATCGCGAGGTTGCTCATGCTCATGAGCGTGTCGGGATGCTCGGCGCCGAGTACTTGCGTCCGGAGCTTAAGCGTCTGCCGGGAGAGCGCCTCAGCCTCCTCGTACTTCCCCTGGTCGTCAAGCAAGTTTGCGAGGTTATTTATGCTACCGAGCGTGTCGGGATGCTCGGCGCCAAGCACTTGCATCCGGAGCTTAAGCGTCTGCCGGGAGAGCGCCTCAGCCTCCTTGTACTTCCCCTGGTTGTAAAGCGAGTTTGCAAGGTTGTTCATGCTACCGAGCGTGTCGGGATGCTCGGCGCCAAGCACTTGCGTCCGGAGCTTAAGCGTCTGCCGGTAGAGCGCCTCGGCCTCCTTGTACTTCCCCTGGGTGTAAAGCGAGATCGCGAGGTTGCTCATGCTCATGAGCGTGTCGGGATGCTCGGCGCCAAGCACTTGCGTCTGTAGCTTAAGCGTCTGCTGGGAGAGCGCCTCGGCCTCCTCGTACTTCCCCTGGTCGCGAAGCGAGTTTGCGAGGTTGTTCATGCTACCGAGCGTGTCGGGATGCTCGGCGCCGAGCACTTGCGTCTGTAGCTTAAGCGTCTGCCGGTAGAGCGCCTCGGCCTCCTCGTACTTCCCCTGGTTGTAAAGCGAGTTTGCAAGGTTGTTCATGCTGGTGAGCGTGTCAGGATGCTCGGCGCCAAGCACTTGTATCTGTAGCTTAAGCGTCTGCCGGTAGAGTGCCTCGGCCTCCTTGTACTTCCCCTGGGTGTGAAGTGAGATCGCGAGGTTGTTCATGCTGGCGAGCATGTCGGGATGCTCGGCGCCGAGCACTTGCGTCTGTAGCTTAAGCGTCTGCCGGTAGAGCGCCTCTGCATCTTGATACTTCCCAAGCATATAAGTACTCTCTGCAACCTTTAAGAGAAGACTTGACTTGGCTGCGTCGTCGGTTGAATAGTCTTGGAACCCCAATGCAGTCAGGGCATGCGGCAGATGCCTTACCCAGACGACCCTGTTCTCGTGCTTTGGGAAAGGAAACACTTTAACGAGGTGCTGTATTAGAGTCGTAGCACATGCCTTAAGTTCTCCTTCCTCCGTCAA